GGGCGCACTGCGTGGCCAGCTCAGCCGCGGGCCGTGGCCGCAGGGCCCGTTGCCAAGTCCAAGAGGCCGGATTCGAGGCCGGCCCACCCTGGCGTGGGCTTCGCGAGCTGGTGGCCGTCCCCAGACGTGGCCCTGGCGCCCGCATCCACACGGGGCCGCAGCTGAAAGGGGCCCCTCGGCTAGAGCGGGGTCGGCCGGTGCCGGCTGAGCCCCTTGGGCACCCCGCGTCCTCTGACTCCACCGTCGGCGGTCACCGGGAAAGCGGAAAGAGGGCCTTGGCAAATGCACCCCGTTCCTGTGCTCGGAAGCCCCCCACTAACTTAGCCCTGGACTCGACATTTTGCCAAAAGCCGGGTTAACCGGGCCGTGGCCGTCCTGAGAGCGGCCGTTGCTGGGGCGGGAGGCGCCGGCCACGTCGGGGCGAGCACGCCGGGGCAGCCGCACCCCACACCGAGACCGGCCCAACGCGCCGGCCGGGATCCCAGCCTGCTGCCAAACTCCCCATCTGCTGCGCGCCCCCACTCCAGATGGGGCTGAGCCCACGTGGGTTCCCGCTTCCTCCAAGTGTCCAAGCTGAGGAAGAACAATGTATCCTCGCTGCGAGCCAGGGACAAACTGGCCACGCCTCCGGAGCGCTGGACGGGGCCCGTCCAGCAAGGACAGGGCGTTAGCCCGGCCCGCCGGGAGAGGCGTGAGCGCGGCGGGGGACAGCGAGGTGAGCCGCAGCACCCCCGGCGGGGGGCCGTGCTCCCTGCTGGGTGCTGGGCCGGGAGGTGGCTGCAGGATGTCCCCGTCCAGCGGCGCCCTGCTGTCTTCCTGGCAGAGCGCACGGGAGACCAGCGGGCCCAGGGGCCACCTGGGGCTGGCCCCAGCGGCTCCTCGGCCTCCTGAGGCCGTTCGCCCACTCCCAGCGGGAGCCTCCCGCCCCTCGGGGCTGCCCCCCCCGGTCACTGGCGCGGGGGACCCCGCACCTCCCTCGCCCTCGGACCATGCCGCTGCTCCTCGGTGGCGTTTCTGTGCGGCATTTGGCTGTAACGCAGTGAGGAACGAAGCCGTGACTGGGTGCTCATCCGTGGAGAGGCACGAAAGGGAAACCGCCATTTCCTTCCACTGCAGACACAATGTTAATCAAACAGGGCAGAGGAGATAAGAAACTGTTTGGGGCCCCGGGAAAGTGAGGAGAAGTGAGGTCACTGTCGTGGTTGAGGGCAGCCGGCTGCTGGCTCCGGCCTGGGCTGAGGCGTCGACCGTGCCACGTTTGGCAGAATTCTCGTGCCCGCTGTCCCTGCCCTGTTCCCAGTTTGGTGAGAACTGTCGCGTCGCAGGCGGCCCCAAGGATGATGGGCGTCTCCACAGGGGGCCTGCACAGGGGTGCCGGGGGGGTGCTGACAGCGGCACGTGGGTGCCACGTATTGCTTAAACCCGGCAAGACACAGCAGCGTGCAGGCCGGGGTGGGCCGATGGACACGCAGCGGGGAGACCAGTTTCTAAGCTGTGTTCCCGCTTACGGACCTGGCACGGGCCAGAGGCGTGGGGGCTCCACGGGGAGCAGAACGGGCCGACGACGAAGCCCCCCGCTGAGGGAGCAGCGGGGAGACGGGAGGAGCCCGCCACGGCCTGGGGGCCACTGCGTGGCCGGGGATCGAACGCGCCGCGGCGGCTTCGGAGAGCCTCACGGGGCCGTGCTTTGCCCCGCTGCGCCACCGGGGAGGGCCGGGAGGGTCGTTTCTGGGGACACTTATGAGGCAGAATCAAGGCTTCGTGGTCACGGGTGCGCTGAGCTCGGCCCGGCGGCCACGTCTGGAAAGGAGGCGCGGACGCAGCGCCCCCGAGGCCGCCTGCCGCCGCAGAGGAGGCCGGTCCTGCCGTGGGAGGCGGCTGCGGCGGGAGCAAAGCAGACTGCCACGGAAGCACCACAGCATGTGCTCACGACGCTGACGTGGCCAGGGTGCGGGGGCCTCCCGCACCCCACTCTCCGCCGCACGGCCGCCCCTCCCGGCCCCCGCAGCTTCTTCCTGACCAGTCGCGCTCCCCTGCTTTCTCGGGCTCCCTCTTCCCCTTCGCTTGTCTCCATCTCCCGTCTTTCCTCTCTGTCCCTCTTCCTCGCTCTAAAAATCTTGCTCAAAGTGCCGGCACGGCCCTGCCTGGGGCGCAGCGGGTTGCAGCCGGCGCTGAGAAGCTGAAGCCGCCTCAGCACGCGTTCGATCCCCGCCCACCCCGGAGGGGACCCCCAGGGCGCGCAGACCCCTCCTGTCTCCCCGCTGCTCCCCTCAGCAGTGGGCTTGGTCCGTCGGCCCGTTCTGCTCCCCGCTCTGTCTCTGGGGCACCCTCTCACCGCCCCTGCATCTCTGGCCTGCACCCCAGTTCTGTGTGCCTACGTAAATATATATTTTTTTAATTGGAAACAAATGCTGGCTTCCAGAAGCACAGGCCCTCTGATGCAGTTCACAGTCGTGAGTATTTGTCAAACTGCAGTAAATACACACTGAGCCGACACCAGCTAAGATGGCAGCGTAGTTGTTATTAATTAAAATGTGGCAAGAAAGAGCATCTTCCTGTCTAAAGTTAGATACTCAAACCCGCAGGGAAACCCACGGGCCGGCGCGCAGCCGGGCCTGGCGGTGGCGGAGGCCGCGGGGTGCGGCTCAGGCCCCGGCTCAGGCCCCGGCCTGCACCGAGACCCCGCGGCGGTGAGCCCGGTCCTCGGGGGGTCACTGCTGAAGACGGAAATGCCAACGGGGTTCTTCAGTTTGCTGCATTGCAAGGTCCACGGAGATGCGTATGGGGCCCGGTGGGACTCACCAGAAGTGGCTGCCAGAGTGCGAAACGGTCTTGGGCTTGCTAAAGTGTCTTTATGCAAATCACCCTAAGGTAAACATGTTTCTGGGGTCCAGCGCCCATACTAGGGGTCTCCCCGGTGGCACAGGGGTTAAAGTCTTGGCCCCGTCAGGCCGCTGCCGGCCCCCGCGGCCCGAGTGTGACCCCCGCCAGGGACGGACCCCGGGCGCGGCG